GGAAATAATAAATCTGGAATCAAAAATTCCAATGTTAATACCTCTAATTTATTCAGTCAGTTAATCAATTTGGCTGACCACCTACCTTTTCAGGTCACAGAAGCAAGTGCATCAGATCTGTTCTCCAGAGATCATGTCCCTAGACGAGCGATTCAGCTTCGGGAGGAGAAAACCCACGTCGAGAGTATGCTCCTTCAAGACACTTGCCTCTGGTTATTTCTGGCCGTCCACGGGTTCTTCGGACTGTCAGTTAATCAATGAGCAGTTGTTTTGCCTTCCATTCTGGTCTGGAAGCATTCACAAGGCATACCCATAACGCTGTAGCCGTGACTTCTCAGTTCGGAGAAGCACCGACTAGGCACCGGGGAACCCTCGAATATCTGTGCTCAGCGATTCGTTTTAGAAGGTCCACTTCAACTAATTGCATCTGAGATTTAAGTTTTACCGTCATGGTCTATGATTCATGACCACTGGAGAGCACGAAGAAGACGGTCACACACACACACGCACACACACACACACACACACAGAGCCTATGCTTAAGACTCAACTCCGAGTTAGTTACAACTGTTCAAACTAGTTCACTCAGTCCACGCTGCACATTCCAATTCGCGGTGGATCTGCACTACCTCCTGGTCGGTGAAGTCCACTACCTTCAACACTCTTCTCAGTTTATTTGTATGGCGCGACGGGCATGGAGAACATGGAAGCGCTAGGCTTTTGGTTTTTTGCAAGTTCATGCTCATGCAGGCTGGAGATCAGTTTTCGTAAGTGCCAACAAAATAAGGCCGTCAGCAAACAGCAAATTTGCCGTCTCTACATCTCCTGCATTAATACACTCGTTGCCTGTATACAACACAAAGAGGAGAGGGTGAGAACGCACTCCTGGCAAAGACCAGTGCGAATGTTGAAGGTTTTGACTTAACGTCATTTATTGTGACATAGCATCTGCCGTCAACGTATAGAGACTATATCGTTCGTAGCAATTAGCCATCAGTCCACATGTTTGCCGGCATGCCCACCGCTCGTTACGTGGATCTGGTTATAGGCTTTCTCCAAGTGAATAAAAAGCAAATAAATCGGATGACCGAACTCTCACGATTTCCCATCAGCACCCCTGGTCAGAGATGCTTCTGCCTGAACTAATGACAAACGCTTTTCTTGAATTTTACAGTCAACTATTTGGCGACATAGCCTTTGCGCAGACTTTTAGTTGCGTGGCTTAATGGAATACAGTCAAGATAACTGACGCAGTCCCTGTGAGGTCCCTTCTTAAACAGGTACTTCCACCCCAGCCGTCCAGCCCATCGGTACCTTTCCCGTAGTTACTGTAGTTTGACAGCCACATGTCAGCCAGAGCATGCCTTATTCGCCTAAACCTTTAAGCATCTCAGGGCGCATTTCATCGATTCCCCAAGCCTTGCCATTTTTCAACCTTTCGACAGCTTCTATGACTTTTTCTAGTGAAACATTAAAATCCGATGTTTGCTGCTCTTCTAAAAGACCGTACTTCAGTTGCTCGAGGATAAGAAGTTTCGCAAAGAACTCTCACCGACGCCAAAGATTTTTTCGACGGTAATAAAGAGTCTGAACTTGTCTTTCAGGACTCTGAAACTGCCTTTTTTATCTTGGAGGCAGCGGATGGTCTGCCAGAATACGTTGTTTGCCATCTAGCAATTCGACTTATCTGCCTCTCACAGAACTTCTCACATTTATCGCCGTTTGCCTTGGCCACTGCCTTTTCCGCCGTTCTGAGCGCTTCTTCTCATAGCGTTCTAGATGAAAGCTCCTTGCTTACAAGTAACCTCTAGAATTTAATTTTCTAGCTGACAGCCGGTTGAATCTGTGGTGTTCAACAGGAGATTCGTTGCTCATCCCCCCACCATGGCGGCAAGCCAACTCCGATTAGACCCCAGCATTAGGAGGCAGTCCCTGAGTAAGCTGCCATTAAACAGCTTCCACTGGGATTCTGTGTCAGCCATCATCACCGGGATCTGTTCAAACCATTGTGCGATGCAGTTTCAAATTTAGCTCTCCTGTCCACCAAAGATAGTGTTTCCTCTTTGATTTTCTGGTTGCTTCTGCCACCGGATCTTCGTATGGTACCTCCATTTCTCACAGCATAGCGTGCCAACAACAAGTAGGTGATTGACTGACAGCTCTACACACCTCTTCTCTCGAACATCCATTACAGAGCATCTTAATTTGGATGATATGATTATCAAGTCGACCATTTATTTCTCTGCACATGCTTTCCTGTACCAGGTATACTAATGCACTCTTCGATGTTCGAAGAAGGGTGTTCATTATGGACAGTTCGTTGCTTGCACAAAACCGCAGCAATTTCTTGTTGTTATTGTTGAGGTCGCCAGAGCCGTTCTATTCAATCTCGTCTTTCCAGCTTATATTCCAACTTGTGCATTAAACTCACCGATGAATATGAGGAATTCGGCACTTCGTACAGAGCACACTACACTTCCTCAAGGAAAGTTTCATATTCTCCCTCTTACTTCGGCGCATATATCTGTACCAAGGTCAAAGTTTTAACCTGTTGCACATCAGCTGTAAAACTGCAACTCTTCATCTGACGGGCTTCCATTCTATGATTCTATCAGTCAGGTTAGGTTCTACCAGAACGCCAGCACAGGCCTGAGCGCGAGTTGTGCAATCGGCAACGCAGCATAACTGTTTCAACTGGCCGGAATTCCAGAGCCCTAGCGTTTCGTTGATTAGAGTAAAAGTATGTCCAGTCCTTGTGTACTGCGGTTTCATCAACTGGTTTCTGCACTTCTCTCTGAGTGAGGAGTCTTTCCAATTTACGACTGAAATCTCGCACCTTTGGTATTGATACTGTGTAATTTTTTCTGACGGGTTATAATTGCATTGCGTTCTCCGCCTTCTTCGTTCATGGCTGGTAATAGCTTCGTCGCTGATTGGTACCTTCGTTGTCTTCTTATCGATGATTGGCGGCTGTCGCCGTTCCGCTGCGCCGCCATTCGGCAGAAAGCATGAAGCAGGTTCAGATCGCTGACTTGTATGAGCGGCGTTGATATCGCGGGTGACGATAGATATGGTAAAATGTTCGACGACGGCAATACCATGAGGTGCATGTGGCCAAGTTTTGCGGGAGGCGTCGTTCCCAACGGTTCCCAATCATGCTCCTTCCTCATCTGGAATTGAGGCAGCAACGGCGTAGTTCATGCGCTGATACAAGTTATCAAATCTACTCCAAATAATAAAGGAGCTAGGTCATTGGAGAAACTACTTGAGTGAACAACCCCCATCCCTAAAAGAATCAAAGGCATTGGATGAAAACAAATGAACATGCGACGATGCAGGGGGCATTGCAAATCGATTTTGCCCAATGGACGCACACGTGTAAGATTTTTGGCAAAATTTCCCTTGTCTACTTGAGCTTCAAACATGAAATTCGTAGCGCCGCTTTCAGACATCATGTTGTACTTTTACATGGAACAACTGTTCTGCTACGTTGGAAGTTGAAATTCACCTAACGGCAAAACTGAATATATCAGAAAACCATTTTCCAACGTTTGTTTATCATTCGAAGC